ATAAAAGTGGCTTGGAAAGGTGTCTGGACCTAATAGGTAACATTTTGGGTTGGTTAGAACCTTGGGTTGTCTAATTGGGCACCAGTGGGCATGTTTGTTAGGCACTTGGACTCCAGCTTTGCCAGGGGCCTGCCTGCATCCCAAGCGGTAACAGCATTGGGCAAATTTGGCGAAGGTGCAAACTGGGGCCACGGGAGTTGGGCAAGCAGGAAGTGCATTGACTTCCTGCCTGGGCCTTACCAAAGTTTGTTAAGATCTCTCTGGCCCAATTTCTTTTCTTTCCTTTTCTTTTTTGGGGGATGAGATTACACTTCTTTTGGAGTAAAGTTCCCTTTTATATCTTAATCTTTTGTGTAGGGAAGAGAGTAGGATTCAGGTCTGATAAAAATGGTCTCAGCTTGTGGATGCATTTGCTTTCCTCCTTCCTTTTTTATTTACAGAAATAGGTTCTAAGGGTTATAAACTGTTACACGTCTGCCTCATTTTCTTCCTGACCACTCGCTTCTCATTCAGATTACAGCTATTGACACTTTAATAAAATCACATGAATACATTTGAAGATTTTGCATTAACCTCTAACACCATTTAATCAGTACTTCTTGGTGCTTCACACCAATAAATTATATAGCCACATTTTATCTAGGAAGTATTGACCTTCAGCACCAAAGGGTTAAGTATACCATTAAGACAAGTAGTAGTTATTGGTCTAATAAATGTCCCTGGCACTTTGGCTTGGTTCAGTTCAAGTTCCTAATTCACATAATTCTCTTTTAAAACTTGCATACATTTGGGCACCTGGGTGGCTCAGTTGGTTAAGCAACTGCCTTCGGCTCAGGTCATGATCCTGGAGTCCCAGGATCAAGTCCCACATCAGGCCCTCTGCTCATCAGGGAGCTGGCTTCTCCCTCTGCCCCTCGCCCCTTTTGTGCTCTCTCTCTCCCTCTCTCTCTCAAATACATAAAATCTTAAAAAAAAAAAAAAAAAAACTTGCGTACATTTTTCTGTTGAGCATATGCAAAAATTGAATATATCTTAGAAAATAGGATTGTATAGTGCATCCATACAGTGGAATATTATGCAGCAATTAAATCGCTTATGAAAATTTTCTGGGGGACGCCTTGTTGGCTCAGTCAGTAGTAGAGCAAGCGGCTCTTGATCTGAGTCCTGAGTTCAAGCCCCACATTGGGCATGGAACCTACTTAAGAAAACAAAACAAAACAAAAAACAGAACAGATCAATTTCTGATGATGTGGAAAGGTGCAGGCGAGATGCAGACTGCATATATGGTACTGTCTCATCAATATAAAAAAATATTGACATGTATGAAGAAAGAGAAAGAAGACACGTGCAGGACAGAAGCATACCAAAGTGCTTCTGTCTGGTTGAGAGGATTAAGAATTACTGACATTTTTATTCTGTATTTTTACTTTTCTGTTGTTGTATGCAGTGTTTAACCTGGACTCCGTGTCACTTTTGCAATAAAAAAATAGATCTAATAAGGGATTATAAATCATTTTACCACCTACCTCAGTTAAGATTTAAAATGGGTTAAATTAACATGCAAGGTTAAATTAATGCTTTTTCTGAGAGACAATACATAATGGCCCCTTTTACGTTTTAAAAATTCTTGAGAGTTTTCCATTTAGCACTCGAAGTTATCTTGTGTGTCACCATGCAGTGTTTCCCCCAGTCTCTTCAACTGGGAATGCTGGTGTTCGCTCACAGGTCTGCCGCAGCTGTTTGGAGAACAATAATTCCGAGTCTTACAAAATTGGTGGCAGTTTTGAAAATCCTGAAGCGTTTTGATTTTACTTCTCTGTTTTGTGAAATTAAGTTATTTTATTTTAAAAATAAACTTTTTGTTGAAGTATAACACACATTCACCAAAGGGCACACACCTTAGGAATTTTCGTAACCCTGGTAACCACATCGTTCCATTTTTGCTGTATTGTCTTTGACAAAATCTCACAATTCTATGTAAGAAAATATATGTATATATATATTTTAGATTTTTATTTATTTATTTGACAGAGATTACAAGTAGGCAGAGAGGCAGGCAGAGAGAGAGAGGAGGAAGCAGGCTCCCCGTGGAGCAGTGAGCCAGATGTGGGGCTTGATCCCAGGACTCTGGGATCATGACCTGAGCTGAAGGCAGAGGCTTTAACCCACTGAGCCACCCAGGTACCCCAGAAAATATATTCTTGTTTAGGGTTCTGTGGTCTCCAGAAGTTACACTCAAAGTATTTTGTATTTTTTTGTTCTCGTAAGTGCATTAAGTCTTTGAGTTTTTACCTTTTTCAAGGAGCTCTAAATTTTCATTCAGAATATTGTCATTGGGGGTATAGCTCAGTGGTAGAGCATTTGACTGCAGAATATTGTCATTATCCTTAGTTCAGGGTAGGAAAATGGGCCTTTAGAGATTAAAGGTACAAAATAATAACTGCAAAATTATTGCCATCCAGGCTCTGCAGATCTCATTCCCATCTGCGACAGCGCTTTGCCCCAGTCGGCTGGTTGTGTGGAACTTGATTCCTGGGCCTCTGCGTATGATACAGCTTAGGTTGCTAATCTGAAGAAGCAGATCAGCAGCCGGCCGTAAGTGTGTCAGGCCTAGAAACCCTAGACTGAGCCGGGAGGAACTCTAGAGGTCATTAGCCTACAGTGGGGAAACTGAGTCCTGGAAGGTTACATGCCTTGCCCAGGGTCACGGACTTGGCATCAGGACTGAATCTAGAATCCTGGTCCTAAACCCCATGCTAAGCCCCTATTCTCTTCTTGAAACTCACCCTTTCTACTAGAAATGCAATCCTCAGACTGAAACCGACTTCTCCAGAAAGATGAATAGCCTAACACGTTTTTCAACCCATCTGCTTAATGGGGATAACCTGACAGCATCGACCTGTTTTGGAAGATAGCCCTTGGGTTACTTCAGGTGAATGAGGGATGGTGTGGGGATGATATAAATGCCAGTCCGTAATTGTTCAGAGCACTGCTGGGAGCACATTCAACTGGGATAACCCTGGCTAAAGGGAAAGTGTGGCGTGATGTTGACTTATGACCCTTCCCTGGGGAGTGAGCTATGTCAGGAGACGAGGCCATGCTTCTGGAAAACCAGGTCTCTCATCTGTTCCTGGACATTGGACAGGGGGACAGGCTACGATGCCTGGGAAAGGACCATCAATGTGTTATGACTTTCTGTTTTTGAGATCTTGTTTCAGTTGACTAAAGGTAGATGGGTAAATAAATCCACTCTTTGGTTTTCCAAGGGAGGCCAGGCAACATATATTTAGTAAGTGTTGTTCACTGTGGTGGGCCCTGGGGACTTGGTGCTTAATAAAACATGTCTGTAAGGGCTTAAGTCTGTGGCGCTGGCAGTTCCAAGGAGAGGTCACCACTGCCCGCCAGAAGTCTCGGTTCTGTTGGTATATTGGATTCGCGACATGCATAAGGGTCTCTTCAGAGCAGACTGACTTTTGCCTGCGTTTTCGTTTGTCAGAAAGCATAACTCCTCAGGCCCACCAGCCGCCATCCTTGGCCTGACCTTCAGTGTTCTCCACAGTCCCATCCTCCAGACCCATTCTACCCTTTCTCACTCTGTTCCCAGAGTACACGGTTTCCTCAGAGGCCAGACTGATTGTTCCGTCTCCAAATATCTATGGCTTTTGAGCTTTTGAGCATGTTTTCCCCTTGTTTAGAATGGCCCCTCCTCCCCTTCTTCTTCAAATCCTGCCCAGCCTTCCAGGCCCAACCTAATTCCCACCTTCTCTTGTCAGAACTCCTGTGGCACTTCTCGTCCATCCCCGGCTATGGATGACATGGCCACGGCTCAGCCTGCTGGAGAAGAGGGTGGGCTCTGGGGCCCGTGTCACCTGGGGCTGGAGCCTTTCCCCAGTCTAGACCTCTTCATCTGTAAGAGTGGGAATAACAAACTTTTTAGCCTATGGTTGTGCTGACTAAATGAGTTCATACCAGTAAAGCCTGTGGAACAAACAGTGTGTAGCACCTAAGTTCTCATTAAGTACCAGTTGTTACTCTTTCTCATGTGTATTTAATCCAGCCTTCCTTGTGCTGCTGTCTCACCACTAAAAATCGTCACTTGTTGGCCTCTAGTGACATTACAAAGCCTTCTGATGAAGAGAGTCTGGGTTTTATACTTTCTGTTGACTCTCTTCAGGCCCACCTGCGCATGTGATAGCTCCCCAAAACGTGTCACTTAAAATAAAGCTGTTACTATACTAAGAGAAAACAGATGGAACAGAGGTTAAGGAACTAGAGAGAAAAGATGGGCTTCAGCTCACAGGTGGAATTGTCTTACAATTCTCAGAGCACGTCATTTGTTCCTGTTCGCACTGTTGTTGAGCCAAATGAGCTCCTCCGTCACAGTCACTGGAGGTGTGAACATCACGTAGCAAGGATGCTAGCAATTTCAGAGGTTGCCTGAGACACTCTTCTTCTCTGGGCCCAAGGTGGAAGGGAATCTTGAGAGGGTAAATTCTGGTGTATCAGAATCATCTCAGAGCCGGTGGGGCATGAGCTGACCATTACTGATACATCTCTCTTCCGGGGGTTGGAGGGAGCAGGGTGGCATAGGAAATTCAGAGAGAGAGAGAGAGAGAGAGAGTGTGTGTGTGTGTGTGTGTGTGTGTGTGTGTTGGGGGACCCAAGCCTTTGGCCACCCTCTCTCTGCCTTCCCTTCCTCCTTTATTGGCAGCTCAGGAATCCACAAGCACCTGGGTGTCCATGCTCACAGCATGCGGAGGAAACAGGTTACTCTCTGGCTGTGGGAAGGGGTGGGGGCCCAGGCAGAAGGAAGCACACAGTGAAAAGCCAGTCGCAGACAGGAGTCTGGCTGTTGGCAGGAGCTGCCCAGGGGGTCTTCTGCCGCTGCCCACCACCCCCCAACCCAATCCCAGGAAGTCTGGGACGTCAGCCAGGGTCTCCCACAGAGCCCTGTGGGTGCCCTTTCCCTGATGAAAATGCCCCATTTCTCCTTCTCCTAGGCTGGAACAAGACATTAAAAAGTTAAAGGCTGACCTGCAGGCCAGCAGACAAGTGGAACAGGAGCTCCGCAGTCAGATCAGCTCCCTGTCCAGCACCGAGCGGGGGATCCGCTCCGAAATGGGCCAGCTCCGGCAGGAGAACGAGCTGCTGCAGAACAAGTACGTGCACCCAGGGGCCTCGGTCGCCAGCCAGGCGGCCTCACTGTCCCTGTGGTTCCAGGGGTTGGAGTAAAAGAGGTGTGATGACAAGGGGACCTGGCAGCAGGGATGTTAAATGAAATGTTTAAAATATTTAATGTAGTACCAGATACTCAGCATGTTACAAAACCTATGAAAACTTGTTTCATCCCAACAGCACAGTTTACTAATGTTATTCTTTCCTTTCATTTAATAAGTTCTTCTCTTAGTTTAAAATAGTAATTGAGCTTCTGTGATACTATAAGTAAAATTGACAGAAGTTGTTCTGCCACGATTTGAAAATCCTGCTCCTTTGAATCAAAGTTTCCAGAGGAACAGACTCTTATTTACTTTGATATCTGGAACCAAAAAAAAATGACCCTGAATTTTGATTTTATTTGAAGAGGCAAGCAAAAAACCAGCTCTTCTATGTGAATTTGTTTATACTTCCCATTGATTCATCCTGGAATTACTTCTTGACTCAGTATTGATCTGTCCCCCCCCCCTTTTTTTTTTTAAATCTCTCGGCAGTGTGTGCCAGGGGTAATGATTACTATCATAGGCTCTGGGCTTCCCCCATTGAAAGAGGAGTCCTTCGACATTCTGGAGGAACATAACTCAAAGCCAGAGGCTTATAAGCACGTAACTTCTCCATTGCTTCTGACCCATATACGAAGGCTCTCGCCTGACGCTGATACACTGAGATGAACTCACCCTGTACTGATGCGGAATGCTGGGGGTGGGAGTAGGCAGGGAAGGGAATACGGCTGAAATCTCTTTGTGAAATTAAGCACCCTCTGACTAACTCCAGGGTCTGTTTTGGGATACTTGGAGAAAACAGCTCACAGCTGGAAAAGGAAAGGCTGCAGCAGGGCCGCAGCATAACTAGATTCGGGCAAAAAAAACCAAAAAACCTTCCCTCTTCCACCCTTTACCTCGGCTTTCATGGGGCTGGTTCCGTTGGTAGTTCTTTGATCAATGAAAGTTCTCTCAAGGTGCTTTGGGGCACAACTAGAATTAGTGGTACAGCTGTCTTTCCCTCTGATAGAAACTTGTTTTATCCCTTTTTCTGGATTGCCTTCTGTAGATCTCTTCCCATAGCAGGGCAAAGGCTGGGTCTTATTCTGTATCTTGTTAGGCTGCTCTTGTTAAAGAATAACGACAATGTTTTTCCCCGGGCACTCTGGAAGCTGACTTTTATGATTTGCTGTTCAAAAGAGGAGCCACGTTTCCCCAGAGTTTCTAGTGGGCATTTCTAATGATGAAACTCTGTATGATAATCGTTTCCATATAGATTACATAACGCTGTGCAAATGAAGCAAAAAGACAAACAAAATATCAGCCAGTTGGAGAAAAAGCTAAAAGCTGAGCAGGAAGCCCGAAGTTTTGTAGAAAAACAATTAATGGAGGAGAAAAAAAGGAAGAAGTTGGAAGAAGCTACTGCTGCCCGGGCCGTTGCATTTGCTGCCGCGTCTAGGTATGTCCATGATGCCCCCCTCCCCACCCCCACCCTTCGTCCCGCTCCCTCCACAACCAACACCCCTACCCCCCCACCCCCCCTCCCACCCCACACCTCCCTGCTCTGCATCCAAGGTGGATGAGGTGCTCTGCATCTGCCTTGCACCAAGACCGGCATGAGAGTATGAGGCCTCAGGCAGGGTTGAAATAGAACCATCAGGCAATGAGAGGTTGCCACCAAGTGTTATTTCCTGACTAGCTAAGCCCCATCTGTGCAACTTGCGTGGTCTTATAACAGCTTCATCTCTCAGCGACCTCATCTAGGAAGTGGGATGAGGGCGACACCATGCCTCTCACACCCAGGAGGCAAAGTGCTGCTCATCAAAGGGTTTCTGGTCACTTTCTGTGTGGCCAACAACTTCTAAACACTGGAGAGACCAGTCTGGAATGTCATTCCCTTTCTGTGTCATTACTCTCTACTCTCAGGTGTATGTGTTTCTGAAGTTTTTAATCTTAAAATAGAAGAAAGGAAAATCTTGGTTGCCTAAGTCCTTTTTACTGACTGACTGCTCCCATCTTGGTTGGGTATCAGCAAACTCACATGAGCTGGAAAAGATGGGAAAAAACCCCAAAACATAAGTCACTGTTAGATGCCATTGAATTTGTGGAGTGTTGGGAACTGGGCATTACTTCTGTACTATTGAAAAGTATGCAAGTATTTCCAGAAACTGAATTCCAGCAAGGAGGGAAGATCCTTAAGAGCCTTTTGGCATTGTGGGGGTAGGGGCGCTTCTATTTCACTTTAGGGATTTTTTTCTTTTTTTTTGACTAGTGAAGTCCATCCGTGTGGTGGGGGGTCAGTTATGGGCTTACAGTTGGCGAGTGAGGGTACATTATTATTGATCTCATTTTGTAAAAAAGATTTTATTCATTTATTTGACAGAGAGAGAGATCACAAGTAGGCAGAGAGGCAGGCAGAGAAAGAGGGGGAAGCAGGTTTCTGGCTGAGCAGAGAGCCCGATGCGGGGCTTGATCCCAGGACCCTGAGATCATGACCTGAGCTGAAGGCAAAGGCTTAACCCACTGAGCCACCCAGGCGCCCTGTTGATTTCATTTAAAAAATTTTTTTTTAATTTATTTGACAGACCGAGATCACGAAGCAGCAGAGAGGCAGGCAGAGGTAGGGGGGAAGCAGGCTCCCTGCTGAGCAGAGAGTCGGATGTGGGCCTCGATCCCAGACCCTAAGATCATGACCAAAGGCAGAGGCTTAACCCACTGAGCCACCCAAGCGCCCCTCATTTTAAATTTTTATCATAATTTGTATCAATAGAATTATACTGTAATTCTTCCTTAAGTTTTCCTTTTTTGTATGTGGCATGTCAGAAGCCTTCTTTTGGGTTCTGGCATTTGTAGAAGAACCGTTGCATCGTCATTCCACGTTTAAGGAGAGAACAGCCTGAAAGAACCCTTTCCTTCCCTGTGCTCCTGCTACCCCCGCCAACTGTAGTGCACATGGCTGAGCTCACTTGGCCAATCAGCATCCAGACGTACTCACAGGACACGCCACTAGCCTGCCTAGGATGTGGGGGTTTGGTTTGTTCGTAAGCAGGCCTCTGTACAAAGCAGATGTTTCTGAAGCACTTACACTTGTGGGAGTTTTTTCTGAACAGTCACCTGATGCAGCCTGTACTGTCTTTCATTCATCCAGCACCTCCTACCCTGACAAAAAGTCCACTGAGGAGGTTATGACAGCTCCTTAGCCGTATTGTTCAGTATTTTACGCCTGATCATCAGTACATGGGTTTCAGTCTCTTCCCTGACTCCCTTTCGCTTCCAGTCAGGCTTACTTGCTTTGGTCTTATCTGTCGATGGTCTTGGTTTACCTTCACTTAGGTAGAGGCTGTTTTTATTCTCAAGCAAATCTCAAGGTGTAGGTCTCTCACTGGACCTTCCTTTTTGGTAGGCGGAGGACACCTCCTTTCTCCCTCTGGCTGTTGCTGAAACCTAAGTGGTTAGTCAGCTCTGGACTGGCTGTTGCCGTCACGTTTTTCAGTGTGTTCTTCCTACAGGCCTGAGAAGCAACCCAATGCTCTGGCAACTTCATGACTCAAGAAGGGTAAACTTTTCAAGGCGTAGACCCTTGAAAGGGGAATTCTTTTAGCTCACTGCCCCCTGCTGGAGATAGTCCACATCCAGTTCTTGCTTGTTCACCTCAGGGGGCACTGTCTCAGGTCATGTAGCCTGGGGGAAAGCTTCTGGCATTGCGAAGCTGGAAAGGCTCAGTTCTTATCCCTGGAGTGCTGTGACCTAGCAGCTAGGTGAGGTTGGACTGGTGTTATAAATGCGTGGTCTTAGTTTTCTTATCTGGAAAATGGGACAATACACCCTACGCTTGCAAAGAAGGCAGAAATGGTAAAGTGCTTCATTTGGTGCCTGGTTCGTAGTAGATACCATTTAATTATTTTAGATCATTATTGAAATTCTCAAGGAACAGAGAATGAGCAGACTGAGCCAAAACCTAAAACCTGACAGACTCTGGAGTATAAGAGAAATATCACTCTTGCAGCATAAGTAAACCGCTAGTCTTTTAAATCCCTTTCTTTCCTTCTCTTCTTTTCTAAAAGGGGGGAGTGCACCGAAACCTTACGGAATCGGATCAGAGAATTAGAAGCAGAGGGCAAGAAGCTCACGATGGACATGAAAGTGAAAGAAGACCAGATCAGAGAACTAGAACTGAAAGTTCAGGTATGGGGAGCATGAAAGACTTTCTCCTACTTGGGTTCTTCTATGTTATTTGTGTACCCAGTGTTGCAATGTGGAGATGGTGCCTTTTTGTTTTTTGAAGATTTTATTTTATTTATTTGAGAGAGTGAGCATGAGTGTCAGAGGGAGAGGGAGAAGCAGACTCCCTGCTGAGCAGGGAGCCAGACATGGGGCTCGATCCCAGGACCCCAGGATCATGACCTGAGCTAAAGGCAGATGCTTAGCCCACTGAGCCACCCAGGCACCTCAACATGGTGCCTTTTGATAATTGGCCAAATCCCACTGCATCTCAAAATCTCTATGACAGAAAGAAGCTCTAGCCTTGTCCAGCTCATTCAAGTCATATTTAATTAGCCAGATTCTAATACAACTAGAAATATTGACTGTCTTTTGGCACAGTTTATACCAGAATTTGACCTACTGTAGATTCGTTTCCCTTTTTCAGGTTATAGGCTAGATTAGTGTACTTTGGAGCTTTTGCACCGCTTCTTAGCCCTAACCCTCTGTGCATTGCCAGGGAATTGACCATTCTGAATGGCTCTCAGCCTTGTAGATTGCAGTTCTGAGCAGTGCATGATGGGGAAAGCTGCCAGTGCTGTGGACACAACCAGTTTTCTGGGCAGCGTGTACCTTAGCCAGGTATTTGGACTTGGTTTTCCAAAGGGACCCTGGAAAGTAATATCATATACCGTGAAGTTACAGTAATTTGAATCACGTGGAACTGGTACGAAATTGTGGGCAAGTTGGTGGCATAGAATAGATACCCTAGAGACAGAGCATAAAGTCTCCAGTAAAAACAGCACAAATGGTTGGAAACAGTGTGGACTAGTCAGAAAAAGGCTTCGGAACAGTTAGATAACTAGAAAAAAAAAATAAAATTAGAAGCTCGTCTCTTGGGGCACCTGGGTGGCTCAGTCAGTTAAGTGTCTGCCTTCAGCTCAGGTCATGATCCTGGGGTCCTGGGATTGAGCCCCATGTCGGGCTCCTTGCTCAGCAGGGTGTCTGCTTCTCCCTCTCCTTCCTGCTCATGCTCTCTCGCTATCCTTCTCTCTCTCTCTCTCAAAATAAATAAGTAAATCTTAAAAAAAAAAAAAAAGCTCATCTCATACTATACAAAAAGAAATTTCAGATGGAGTTGAATACAGGCAGAAAAGAGAAGCATTTTGTTTTAAACTAGAATTTGATCTTGAAACCGGGAAAGATTTTCTAAACAAAAAAATGGAAAAAATCATAAAGCCAAAAAAAAAAGAGAGAGAGAGAAAATCCGTTGCGGAGAGTATAGATATTACAACAAATATAAGGAATTAGTACTCTTGATATGTAGGTAACTCACAAAATTTGTCGAGTAAAACTCTGATATTTGGAAAAATGGGTAAAGGATATGAATGAATAATTCACAGAGGAAAAATAAATGGCTGAGAAGAATATAAGAATATATTCTCCTCAATTGCCAAAGACCTGTAGATTAACAGTAGGTATCATTTATCTCCTGTGAAATTTGTTTCCTCTTTTTTAATCGCAATATATTTGGCACACAATGTTACATTAGTTGCAAGTGTAAGACATAGTAATTCCACAACTCTGTATGTCATGCCGTGCCCCATGCAAATGTAGCTACTAGCTGCCATCTGTCACCACTATGATGTTACAGCACCATTGACTCTGTGCCCTATCCTGTACCTTGTATTCCCTTGACTTACTTATTCCGTAACTGGAAGCCTGTACCTCCCACACCCCCTCACCCACCTCGCCCACCCCACCAGTTCTCTTATCTATGGGTCTGTTTCTGCTTTTGTTTGTTCCTTTGTTTTGTTTTGTAGATTCCTCGTATCAGTGAAATCAGGTATTTGTTTTTCTCTGTCTGGCTTATTTCAGTTAGCATAGTATCTTCCAGGTCCTTCCATGTTGTCACAAATGGCAAGATCTTACTCTTTTTTATGGCTGAGTAATATTCTTTGTGTGTGTGCATGTGCGCATCTTGTTTATCCATTCATCTCTCAGTGGGCAGTTAGGTTGCTTCCATATCTCAGTTATGGTAAATAATGTTGCAGTAAACATAGGGGAGCATATCTCTTTTGGAATTAGTGTTTTTGTTTTCTTTGGGTAAATACCCAGTAGTGGAATTACCGGATCATACAGTATTTCTACTTTTAATTTTTTGAGGAGCCTCCATGGCTGCACCGAGTTTGCGTTCCCACCAGTAGTACACAAGGCTTCCCTTTCCTCCACATCCTCGCCAACACTTGTTATTTCTTGTCTTTTTTTTTTTCTTGTCTTTTTGATAATTGCTATCCTAACAGGAGTGAGATGATTTTGTGGTTTTGATTTGCATTTTTCTGGATTATTGTTATTGAATATCTTTTCATGTGTTGGCCAGTTTATGTCTTCTTTGGGAAAATGTCTGTTCAGATCCTCTGCCCATTTTTAATAAGATTATTTGATTTTTTTGGTGTTGGGTTGTAGAAGTTCTTTATATATTTTGGATATTAACCCCTTGCAGAATATATCATTTGCAAATATCTTCTTCCATTTAGTAGGTTACCTTTCTGTTTTGCAAAAGCTTTTTTATTTTGGTGTTGTCCCAGTAGTTTCTTTTGCTTTTGTTTCCCTTATCTTTTGTGAAATTAGCAAAGACTTTTTAAATAATAACATCAGCCTGAGTGAGGATGAATGAAACAGGCCTCATAATCGCTGGAGGAGGTATAACTTTCCGGAAAAGTTCATAAACTTTTTAAGTGTTTCCTGCTTTACAACTCCTGCTTAAGATAAATATTTAAAAATCTCATCAATGATTGATACACAAAGATGTTCATCATAGTGGTATGTAAGTGAAAAAAACCCAACCTTAACAAAGGGAGATTTGTTTCAGAAATTATGATACATATAAGTAGGAATATTATACAGTAATTAAAAATTACATTTCCAAAGAAGAGTTGAGATTATATAAGTTTTTTAAAAACTGTATACAAAACTACATATAGTATGATTTCATTTATGCTAATAGATACACATATGCTTATAAAATACTAAAGGGAAATAAATACCAAGTTTTTCACAGTGTCTGAACATTAAGTCATTTTCATTTTCTTCCTTGAACTTTAGTATATTTCTAAATTCTCTGGAGTATGTTTGGATTTCTGTCTTAAAATGAAAAAATTAAAATACCTATATAGATACACATGTATTTTAATATATATTAAGTATGTTATATATTAAAATACATATTCTATATTAAATATTATTAAATACATTACTTAGTAAATATATGTTAGCTGTTATATATAATATATATGAAATAAATATATAAAATGTATATTAAATATACATTAATATATAATATATATTATATCACACACACACACACACACACACACACACACGTGTGTGTGTGTGTGTGTGTGTATGGGCTTCATTACCAGATGTTTTAAGTGGGCTTATTCTGCAGTATGTCCTGCCAAAATAATGAACACTTTTATAATTTTTAGTGCAGGTTGAGAGTAGAGTTTTGGCAAATTGGATTGCAGCACTACAGCAACATTTGCAACTGGCAGCAAGGAAAAAGTTCTTTGTGGTTCTTCTGAATTAGGCTTATAAGAAGGTATTTCGTTTGGAGACAGTCTATTGTTATTAGAAACAGCCCAATATAGTCAAATTCATCTACTAAAATATTTTCGTATGTCATATCATCATATAAATACATCTTGCACTCCGAGTGGTGAGGTCTTAACCCATGAAACATCAGGATTCTGTATTCTAGGGGCCAGGTCAGTAATAGCGGGATTTTATTTGTGATTTCAGGCTAATTTGTAGACATCGATGCCAAAACTATCTTGTAACATCTTGCTGCTTTGATGATGTTGATAGGAGCTTCGGAAGTATAAGGAAAACGAGAAGGATACTGAGGTGTTAATGTCAGCCCTCTCGGCCATGCAAGATAAAACACAACACCTGGAGAACAGTCTGAGTGCAGAGACGAGAATCAAGCTGGACCTGTTCTCTGCACTGGGGGACGCGAAGCGACAGCTCGAGATCGCGCAAGGTAGGAGAGCCCCTGGCCCCGGTGAAGTGAGACGGCTACGCACACACAGGGACGCAGAGAGCAGAGGTCCCTTAGAGCTTGGGGGCATTCAGTTTTCTTCTTGAGCGGTTTGAGAGGTGCCCAATATTGACATCTAGGAATCATCACATTAATTCATTCTGCAGACATATTTTGAGGTGAGAATATGTCAAGTGTGGGGCATTCAGAGAGCAGTATGAGCTCAAGAAGCTCACGGTGCTGTTGAAGAGACAGAGAGCTGCAGAGCCATCGAAAGGTGTTGATGCAGTGATAGGTATAAGGCTGTGGGAACAGGGAGGCAGGGACCGAGCCTGGGTGGATGTTCGAGAGGGCTGCTTCTCAGCGGAACCGATGTCTGAGCCAGGTTTTGACTGATGAGCAGGGGTCAGCCCAGTGAAGATGCAGTGTAGAGGAGTGAGGGGCAGAGAACCATGGAGACAGAAGAAACAGCTTGGACCAGGCCAGGGAAGCCAGGAGGGCCTGATGTGTTCGAGTCGCAGCGGGTTCTACGTGGTTACAAAGCAGGGAGCTGTGGCAGCAGCTTCTGGGGAGCTGGCTGTTCACTCAGCAGGTATTTCCTGAGGCCTCCTGTATGCCAGGTGCCCCGAGGCTCCCCGAGGGGCAGGCAGCCACAAGCAAGCACAGAGCTGAGCAGATGCTGGTGCGGGCAGGGAAGGACCGAAGCGGTGTCAGGCAGGATGCGCGGGTGTGTCCCCGTGGGGACGTGGGTTCCACGTGGTGGTCGTGGAAGATCCTTTGAATAGGGAGCATCTGAGCAGAGGCTCAAAGCAAGAGTGAGTGAGCCCAAAGCAAGAGTGAGTGAGCCCGGTCAGTCTGCAGGGGGAAGGAGCATGGACTGGCTGCCGCCGGAGGGATGGGCGGAGTTGTTGGAGTCAACAAGCCAAGACTGGCAAGAACCACGTTCTGCCAGACTTTGTAACCCATGGGAGGAACTTTGGACTTTACTCTGAGTGGCACAGAAAGCTTTGGAAAGTTTCTGAACAGAGGCATGACAGAGTCTGGTGAAAAGCAATTTCAATTTTGTCCAAGAAATTGATTAGCCAGTAATAAATTACTGAAACAGATTTTTGAACAATTGGACTTAGGAAAAGAATATTTCAGCAGGTACTTAAAGAGTATTTCAGGGGCGCCTGGGTGGCTCAGTGGGTTAAGCCTCTGCCTTCGGCTCAGGTCATGATCCCAGGGTCCTAGGATCGAGCCCTGCATCAGGCTCTCTGGTCAGTGGGGAGCCTGCTTCCCTTCCTTTCTCTCTGCCTGCCTCTCTGCCTACTTGTGATCTCTGTCTGTCAAGTGAATAAATAAAATCTAAAAAATTTTTAAAAAAAGAGCATTTGAAGCATTGTACTAGAAGCTAAAGGGGAGACAGAGATGAACAAGACGCGGTCTAGTGGAAGGATCTAATAGGGCAGTGGTGCTCAAACTTTTTGGTCTTAGGGACCCCTTTACTCTTAAAGTTATCGAATGCCCTAAGGAGATTTTTTTTCAAGTGGGTTATATCTATCGGTATTTACCTATTAGAAATTGAAACTTTAAAACGAGTATTAATCTTTAAAATAACATAATAAACATATAACTTGTTAACATATTTTTATAAAAAATAACTATTTTCTAAAACCAAAAAAAAATTTGAGAAAAATGGCATTGTTTTACATTGAGCAGACCTCTTTAATTTCTGGCTCAATAGAAGATACTTCAGTTCTCATCTCTGTTTCTGTGTTCAGTCTGTTGTAATTTTACTTGCATGTTATTTTGGAAGACTCCACTTACCCCCAGGAGGGAATGTGTGTGAAGAAGTCAAATGATGTGTTAGTATTTTCACAAAGATGGTTTGGACCCTGCGAACCCTGGGAGAATTACTGCACTTGGGCAAGCCAAGCAGAAAGGCCTGCTGCCTTTAGGTAGAGGTAGAGGGCTTGAAAGGCCAGAGCAGAGATCAGGGGTGGCTTCATAAGGGAGGGGACATGGAATGGGCCTTGAAGGATGAGTTCTGAGAACAGAGAGTAGCAGGGAAGAACGTTGCTACCGAGGGAATCATGTAAGCCAAGGCAAGAAAAGCTGAGAATGTCCAGGTGAGCAGTCCAGTGGCCCCAGCTGGAGGACATGGGAGAGTGGGAGAACCATAAATGAAGCCGTCCTGGAGATTATATTCCCGAGATCCTCAGGAGGAAGGGAGTGGTGTGTTCTGCCATCATTTTGGCATGGCAACGCGAAAGGTAGATTGGAAGGTGAGATTGCGTGGACGCAGAGGGTTCTGTGAGGAAGCGGGCACTTTTGTCTAAGAGGTGAGGGATGTGGGAGGGGGCGGGGAGGATGGTTCAGGCAGGGAGCGAAGGAAAGTGGAGGTGCCCAAGGGGTAGGGGAGGATAAAGTTCCCCGGAGCGAAGGAAAAAGAGCAGGACAGATTTGAAGGATGAGAAGAGAGAATGAGTTTGGTTGGAGATGTTCTGATTGGCAGTGGCTTCCTGACTGCCTGGTGGAAGTGGGAATTTGCCATCTAAACCCCAGAGAGAGGTCCAAACCCCAGGAAGGGGGGAGGAATATAGAAGTTGTGAGAAGCAAACGGAGCCATAGGAGTGGCTTGGGACAGTGCAGGGGGCAGAGCAAGAAGAAAGCAGGCTGAGGGGCTGGCGGAGAAAGTATTCTAAAAGAAGCATTTAAAAAGAAGGTGTCTGGGAATTCTGCTTTCAAGCTGAACTTCTGACCATACACTGGCTTTTTTGCCCTCCTGGCTCGGCTTGCTGTGAAGTAGCCACCCCTCTCTAACTTGGCTTTGTCCTGGCCCCTGGAGGGAAGGAGCACCTGGTCTCCTTTCTAGCCGCCGGGAGTCCGGCTCACCAGCACAGCCCGCGCTTCCTTGTCAGCCCAGGAATTCTCTAAAGCGACAAAAAAGCAAAGAGAATTGCCTTTTCCAAAAGCTCTGGGAATGTTTGCATGTTGCTGATTTTAAAAAATCAAACTTAAATCTGCCTGGAAAAAAAAAAAAGAGTGGCTCACGTAATCACGTATCAGATGCTATTAGGTATTTTATTCATCTGAGGCTTACTTTGTTCAAAGGGAGGGAGGCTGTCTGATGCGAACTTGAAGCCGAGGGGACATGAAGGGCCTCAGAGGGAGCAGCTCCTTTCTAGGGCTCTGCTGCTTCCCCTACTACTTCCCTCCACTGTCAAGCTCAGAGTATTCTAATAAGGACCCAACTTTGTAATTCAAATCAAACCCCTTGTTGCTTTTCTGCTTCCTTCCTTCAATATCATTTGCTTCACCCCAGTTCCAAAATGACTTTCATCTCCCCTACATCCTTTTTAAAAACATGCCACCGTGCTCTCTTACCATTTCAGATCCGTTGTCATCTTCCGTAGGACTCAAAATGAGTGCAACTCAAATGCAACCTCTCTTTTTTTTTTTTTTAAGCATTTAAATTTCCAAGGGGCTACTCCTAAGTGTCCTTCCCTGAGTAGACCAGGGAACTTCAAAGCGTGATGGAAATTACATGGGCTTTGGAATATGGGTGTGGGGTTTAAATCTTGCTCTGCCTCTTAATAACTGGCTCTTGGCAAGATATGGAACTTGCAGAGCCTCAGCTTTCTACTGGGCTGGGCACTAGGGATCTAGCAGTGAGTAAAGATGTAAACACAGTTCCCGCCCTCATGGAGCTCATAGGCCACCAGAGAGATGACGGACTCCAGTCATCCCCATATGAATAGTTACAAGACACGGAAGAAGGCCATAGGAGTAAAGATTCTGGAGCAAGACTGCGTAGACTTGGGTCCTGGCTCTGTCATTCAGCCTCTCTCTGCCTCAGTTTCCTCATCCGTAAAACAGATGAAGATGATAATTTCCATGTCGTAGGGTCATTGTGCTAAATAAATGAGTCTAAGTACTTAGAATGGTGCCTGGCACATGTGCGTTAGCCACTGTACTTATTATCTTATTAGAAGAAAGTGACAAAAAGGCAAGTGTAGGGTGTGTTGAGAATCTAGGAATTGGGGGGTAGGGTCGGGTCTGATTTAGAAGGGAGGGTCAGGGAAAGCCTTGTGAGGAAGTGGAAACCTCAGAGTGAACACAGTGCAGGGAAAGCATGGAAAGGGAAGCGGTCCAAGGCCCGCAAGGGTTGGTGGGATCTAGAAGCTAAGCCAGGTGAGCGAGGGTGGGATGTGCTGCCGTGTTGTGAGAGCATCTGGCCAGGGGCAGAGCGGGCCAGCAGGCTGATGGGCACGAGGCCAAGAGGGAGGGGCCAGCACGCTGAGTCACATAGGAGTCCCCTAGGGGCAGCCACATAGGAGCCCCCCGGGGGCAGCTGCTGCAGAGCTCGGTGTGTCTGCCTGTATCGGCCGGCAGAGCCCTTGCGGGTGGAGGTGCGGGGACTGACACTGCGGCCTCAGTTGTCCTGTGTGCCTGGGGCTGACACCCAGATACCTGCCTCCCAGGAAAACAGTCCAGCTCGAGAGGTGCAGCCTTAGTGTAAAACCCGCAGCGCCTCTGGCTGCCATGGCCACCGCCATGTTCAGAACGTGGCTCCTAAAGTGATCTCTTTGCTTGTTGCACCGACAGAGTCCCCCTTCCAGGAACCTGCAAAACCATGGCCCACAGGCCAGATGTGGCCTGCTGCCCGTCCTTGCACCATGTGTGGGCTAAGAATGTTCTTTATATTTCTCCAGGCTAAAAAAAAGAAAGAAGAAAGAAAAGAAAATGACAAAGACGGTCTGTGGCTCACATTGCCTTAAATATTTACTATTTGGTCCTTAAGAGAAAAGTTCCTACCCTTACAGACCGTCAAAGCCAGTCAGAGTTGGAGCAAAATGCACTTGGGATGGGCCCGAGACAAGGGCACTGTGTTAGGCACCCTCCTTTCTCACTAATGGTGGGTCTTTGATCTTCCAGGACAAATTCTTCAGAAAGACCAGGAAATCAAGGACCTTAAACAGAAGATAGCCGAAGTCATGGCCGTCATGCCCAGCATAACGTACAGTGCTGCCACCAGCCCCCTGAGCCCCGTTTCCCCCCACTACTCTTCCAAATTTGTGGAGACCAGCCCCTCTGGACTCGATCCCAATGCCTCTGTTTACCAGCCCCTGAAGAAATGAAGACCAGCTGTGGGTTTTGCCCAACCATTTGGTTACCAGAAGGCGTCACAAAGGAGCATCTCTGGCAGTCAAGATAAAAAAAAAAAAAAAAAAAAAGTTTATATTGTATTTTGTGGGACTGTATATGTTGTCGTTTTTAAAAAGGGGGGGGAAGATAACATCCGAGTCTGATTAGAACTGCCCATCAGTTTTTCTTGTAAATTTTTAGAAGACCTCACAGAACTTTGCAGTTTATTTTTCTCGGCCAATACATTAAAACCACTCTTGGATTTCAAATAGCCAATTTTGCCTTTTATGTATTCTTACAGTTTCCTCTTGAAGAAGGAAAAAAAAAAAAGCAAGGTTTTTGCTTCTCCATCCTTTCTTTTGGTTTTGTTCTTAAATAAGCAAGCAAAACCTGCATTTTGGATTCACATGGGATGCTAATGAAAACGTTTCCTTTCTAGAGTGGAAGGGTTAATAACCTCACACGGCTTTGATTTTATAGCTGCATTCCAGAAGATGATTCTTGATATTACAGAAAACAAAAGCTGATTACCCCTCCAAGGACCAAACAAATTCCGGGAGTGTCGTTTAAGCCGAGGGGAGTGAGGCGATGAGACTAGCTATGAGCGTGTCCCCGGGGTTGTGTCTGAAACGTTCCTATTCCCCTCGGGTGTTCAGTCCTAGAAAACTGCTAGCAGTGCCTTGGGAAAAGACATTTCAAGAGGAAACTTGATGATTTTAAACTATTTGCCCCCTTTACCATCATCTGTCTTCTGTGTCGAGCTCACTGCGGATCCTGCTGGAAACTGGCAGGTAGCGGGGGCTCATGACCACTGCCGCTCCAGCCCATGTCCTTTCAGAGAAAGCACCACGGTGTTCTGGACTCGTCTCGAGGCCAACACCTTGGGACAGGGAGCCAGGCGGTGTTTGTGTGCCAGAGACTACAAGGACAGCGAACAAAAAGCTGCCGTTCTAGGTTTGGGTTGTTTTTTTTGTTTTTTTTGTTTTTTTTTTTTAATTTCATTTCATTTAACTGTGCTTTCCTCTCTTCATCATCTTGTGTTTGATGATTTAAAAGAAACTTGACTATTTCTCAGCTCTTGTGCCAAGGAGTTCTTTTTTGTTGTGTTTTTTTTTTTAAGAGTTTTAAACTCAAAACTGCACAAAGATCTCAGTTTCAAGTGTATATTAGACACTTGTAGAAAAGTGTTTTGGCAACTTTTGGAAGTGTTTAAGAACCAGGGTGGGGTGGGGGGAGGGGCTGGGAGAGGGAGGGGCAAAGCAAAATTGTATTGGGAAACTGAGGAAAATTTAAGAAACCAAATAGATGGGTTTTGCTTCCTTGCCATGGATTCTGGAAGGACATAGTTCTTCTCAAATTTCCTGTTAATTGGCATGTGTCATATTTAAAGCAGATTAAGGTAGGACAAGCGAGTCAGCAGAATAGAAGTATTAAAAAGAATCATCCTTTTAATCACAGATCTTATTTTGGGGTTAAAAAAACTTCTAGCTTTAGCCAGGTGTGCATGTTGCTGCCATTTTGCATTTTTGAATCATCTTGTGTAATTGTCGCCATGGAAGTGTTACTCAGAATTGTCATAGGTTTTTTTTTTTTCATCTTTGTGCAAAAACATGGAAAATTGTCCCTGACTTTGTGTTGAGGTTCCCCCCGTTTTGCTGCCTTTTGGGACACTATTTCGTTAAACATGTGGTCTTGGCTGCATTCTTTTTTTTTTTTTTCCCCCTGTGGGGTTCAAAAGAATAAACATTTTCTTACAGATAAAACTAGTTTTCTGCCTTTTTAAACTTTGCAGGAGGGACAACAAGGTAGATTGTTCTGAATGGGCCCTCGGTGGTCGCTCTTGCTCTCTCCTCATCTCGGCGCCCTGTCGGGGGCAGTGCTCCATGCGGGGGCAGAAACAGGATGTGGGAAGAATCCATGCATGGTCTCAAGTTGGTTTTAGTTCTAGTCCAGCTTAAGACATACACATTCTCATTCTCTCTCCCTCATGCTTCCCTCTCCTCCCCTCCCTCCCTCCATCTTTCTCTCCTCCCAGCCCCCACCCCCACCCCTGGAATTTCTTTCTCCCTCACATATGGTTTGAACCACCGCTAACTTGTTTTCTGGTACAACCCTCCTTTCCTGAAAAAGCAAGTTAGGGGTGGGGTTGGAAGGTAGTTTGCAAGAAAATCTTTTGAGAGCAAATTTCCTTCCCATTTTCCAGAATCTTTGGGGCCACTTGGTGACCAGTAGCCTGTTGGGTTTCCTATCTGCTCTGGATCCTGAACTGACCTCCGAGATAGCCACTTCTAAGTCCTCCTGTTTCAAGAGGCTTTGTCTGTTTTCATCTTCTGAGAAGCCAGCTGCCTCTCTCGGTCCCGGCTTTCCTCTCTTGGCCATTGTTACAATTGATCTTGGCTCCGGTTTTGGAAAATTCTGCTCTTGGCACCTCACCCTCCATCCCTGTTGCTGCATAGCCTTCCTGAGTCTCAGCCACTTCAGCTCTTGCAGACACGCCCCACTTAATGCCACAAGCAGGGCTCCCCGCCCCCCACTCCCACCCCAGGGAAGCACCTTGGCTTGGCTTTTGCCTTCACCTTCCCCGGAGGAATGGAGGGAGGTGTCTGCCTACAGCATTCTCACTGGCACGTTCTTTTCCCCCAGGAAAATCTCTAGTTGTTGTCTTTGTTGTTTTAGGCCCATGGCGAAGGGGTTCCACTTCTTAGTACACTGTAATTGATGACTTGCCATAAAGCCGTGTTTGCCATTCTGTATGGTTAAATGTTTACAGAAGGAGCGGGCTGGGTGTGTTTTCACTGGCTGAATAACCTCTCTTTATTGACAGTCCCCCAGCTTGACAAGGAAATAGCTGTCGCGTGTCCATTCTCTGTGCTAATCTTTCCTATAAAGTGGAAACAAACAATTCCTCCTGGCTCCGGGCCTGAAGGAAGGGACTAGTCCTCTCCTAACAATCCCAACTCGCCCTGCTCGCCTGGCTCTGTTCAGGGGGCCATGCCAGCCACCCGGGACTGCTGAATGTTCTCAAGGCTGCTGTCCGATGGCTTCTTGGCCAATTCACATCGCACTAGAGGGAGCCAAAGCAGGAGACCTGAAGCCTACCCAGAAGCCGATTCAGTGAAGCCCATCTTGGAAAGTGTGGTCAGGCGGCTTGGGCTGTGGTGGCTAGGCCCAGCCGGTTAAGTGCCTGGCCTTGTTTCTCTCAGTGCTTACCCCTGTGAGCTGGCTTCCTCGCTCTAAGGGCTCCAGGCTGCTCCGAAGCCTGGTGGCTTAGCCAAGCCCTCTAAACACAGATGGGAGTCTGCTCCCAGCTTCGAAGCTACCAGCTCCATGACCTCCCTTAACCTCTCTGGGTGGGTGTGGTGCCCTCACCTTTAAGGAGCGTAGTTCCTTGCTGCCCTGCCTCCTGGAAGGAGTTGCTGTGGGAACTAGGTGACACAAAAGAGTGTTCTGCAAACTATCCAGGGCCTCCCAGCTTCAAGTCCAGAACTGTAGCAAGGAGTCATGGCTGGGCAGGGAGCCGGCTGAATTCCTATTCCTGGGGCTAGTTCCCTCCCCAACAACCTGACTCCCTGGAGAGCTCTCCCCAGCAGCGCCCCCAATCTCAATCTGCATTTTAGCAAGATCCCCAGAGAGGATTCCAGTTGCTTTGCAGTGTTTATGGGCTAGAAGCCCCATCCTGAGCTGACTTCCCCAACCTGAAGATTAAACACTGTCCCTCCCTCTCTTCTGGATCAGGAAAAGCCAACACTCGGGGCTTTGAAAAATCAGAGCTAAGAGTTTGGAAGATGAGGGCAAGCTGGAGACGAAGAGCCCTAGGCTTTACCCATTCCGCTGATTTTGTGTATTATTCCCCCTCCCCCATGGGCGTGTGAGCTTTGTGAGAACAGGGGTGTCTGTTTACTTACTTGCTGGAACCCTGGAAACCAGGACAGTGACTGCTACGTAGTTAAGTGCTCAGGAAACCTTTACCGAGGGAACAGGTGAATAGGTTAGACATGTAATCTGAACGACTATGTCTTAACAGAGCGCCTCTCGAGCAGTACTGTTAGAATGACAGTGTACACAGAACTGTTTCTCGAAGGAGACGGGAAAATTTGAAGTGGCATATTTTCATGACATCTTCCATCTGCCTGTCTCTGGTTTCTGCCGAAACTTTGTTTTCTTGTCAGATTTTTCTCTACAAACGCCTGCCTGACTTCACCAGGTGCAGAGATTTCCTAAACAGCTGGATGCGAGGAGAACACTCGCTTCCCTGTCAGGGAAACCTCGCCGCAGGGAACCTGCTGGGCCCGTCCATCCATCCATCCATCACCCAGCTGGAGTCTCAGACCTGATTTCCCCAAGAGCTGGCCCCAGTGCCTCTTGAGTCAGTGTGGGGATTTTTCATTTTGACAGTAATCGAATTGTAAAGCATTTCCTCCAGGAAGGTTAAATGAATGTCTCGAAGATCTCCTTCCATCTGACTACAGAGGCCACCCATCTCTTCTTGCCTCGGTCCTTCCTTGGGCTTACTCTGTTCCTGCCTCATTCCTGTCTCAGGGCTTGCTTTTCACTCCTCTGCCTTTGCCCGAGGTTCAAATCTTACATCGCCTCAGGATGGGCATCATAGGGTTCTGGAATCACCCTGCCAGTGTAGCTCTGACCTCCGTCCTAAGAGTCCCAGGCTTAGCTTCACAGAAGGCGCTGTGGCCTTTAAGCCCCACCCGAGAAACCCAAGAAGGGTTTGTTTCGCCTGGAGACAGCCCAGTCTACCCGTCTTTCCTGCCTCTGCAGTGCCAGGCGCGCTTTCGGGTTGAGAGGGAGGCCACACAGCATGCCAGTGACCTTTATGAGATGTGTCTGGTCTCCCTGTTGTCCTATGCAGTTGCAATACGCTATCTGGGACCAGGCCTGTACTTACCTAGAACAATGGTTCTCAAACTTCAGGGTTCGTGAGAACCACCAGAATGGCTTGTTAAAACCTAAATTGCCGGGTCCCCCCCCGCAGTGTTCTGATTCAAGAAGTCTAGGATGACACCTGGGAAAGTGTGTTTATTACAGGTTCCCCAGTGAGGCTGGATCCTGGGACCCCACT